GTCTATTCTGGAGAATAATCTATGTGCCCTGGAAAAGAATGTGTATTGTGTTTTTGTTGGGTGGAGTGTTTTTTATGTGCGTTTGACTGCTAACCAAAAGGTTGTCAGTTCAAACCTGACAGACCTCCACAGAAGGAAGACAGGGCAATCTACTTCTGCAAAGATTTACTGCCTCAGAAACCCAAAGGAGGTCACTATCAGTTGGAATCAGCTTGATAACACTGAGTTTGGGTTTTTTTTTTTTTTTTGGTTTTATGAAGTTGAGTTGATTGATAATGTTGTTGAGATCTTCTGTATTTTTAATGAGTTTTTCCTCGTTTTGTCTCTCATTGAAAGTGGTGTGTTAGTCTCCTACTACTATTGTAGAATTGTCTATTACTTCTTTCAATTCAGTTAATCTTTGCTTTATGTATTTTGAAGCTCTCTCATCAGGTGCATAGATACTTATTATCATTATTTTCTCTTGTTCATATGATCCTTTCATCATTATATAATGCTCTTCCTTGTCCCTGATATTTGCCTTGGAGTCAATTTTATCAGAAATTAATATTGCCGCTCCTGCTGGTTTTTGGTTGCTGTTAGCTTTATATATATTTTTTTTCTATCCCTTGATTTTTAGTTTATTTTTAACTTTGTATCTAAGGTGAATCTCTTGTAGGCAGCATATTTATGGGTCTTGTTTCTTTTCCCCCAATCTGGCACTCTCTTTCTCTTGACTGATACACTTGATCAATTCACAGTGTAATTAATAATATATATGAATTTACTGCTGTACTTGCTTTGTATTTTTTGTTATGGTGTTAATAGTTTCTTTGTTCTGATTATTTTTCTGTGCTGAGTCCATTTTGTTATCAAGTTTTCTTTCTCTTTTCTTCGTTGTTGATTTTGTGTTTACTAAGTCCTCAGAATTTTGTTCTTTCTTTTAGTAAGAAGGCTTATTGATTTTCTTTGTGGTTACCCTGTAATAGACTCTTATCGTCCTAATTTTGGAACAGTCTATTCTATAAAATAGATCATCATCCTGACTTCCTTTCTATTTTGAAGTTTTGTAATTATACCATTTATTCCCTATATTGCTTTTGTAGTTAGGCTCATATTCATTAAGTTCTTTGCTTCTCTAGTTTCCATTTTGTAAGGTTATTTTAGTTTTGTGAATTCATTTTCTGGGTTGATTTTTAAGTGATATTGCCATGTGTCTTAATCTTAAGGTATTATCTTCAGTTGGTTTTCTGTTGGAAGGACTCCCTTTGGCATTTCTTATAGGGTTGATATGGTTTTTAAAAATTCCCTTAATTTCTGTTTTTTTCTGGCAATGTCCTAATTTCACCATCATATTTGAGGAAAAGTTTTTCTTGATATATAATTCTTTGTTGGCAATTCTTTCCCTTCAAAGTTTTGTATATGTCATCTTCTTGCCTTCTTGCCTGCATGGTTTCTCCTGAGAAATCAGAGATTAAGCTTACTGGTTTCCCTTTGTAGATAAAATTTCATTTTTTCCCCCAAGATTTTTCTTTGTCTTTGGTTTTGGAAAGTATGATTATATTATGTCTTAGTGATTTCTCTTAGGGATCTATTTTGTTTGGGGTGTGTTGAGCTTGACATATATTTTCATCTTTCATGATAAATTGTGGAAATTTTCTGCTAGCAAGTCTTCAACAATTTTATCT